ATCCTGTATCACTCGCGTTAGCATCACCAAGAGCCGCGGTATCGTCCGTGCTATCGTCGGGCATCGTTGTCGCATCTGACGTGTATGTTGGTAGCTTTTGCATGCCATTGCTAACTATCTCTTTCCACGATTGCAGTGCTGGGTAGAATGCAGGACTGATTAATCCGGCAAGGTACTCAATTACTGGCTCGAACGCAGCTTTTGCATAGCAGTACTTCTCTTCCGATGATAACACCACCACATTTGCCTGTTCACGTCGCCTCAGCTTAACATATACAACCCGCAGCTTTTTAGTCCGAGATCGCAGTCCACTTCGCTCAACCCCACGCGGCGGTGGTACTTCCGGGTTCACACCTTGTGTTGCCGAAAAATCGTCTTGTGTTGCTTTCCATACTTCTTGTGTTGTTTGGGTTTCTTGCTCTGTTTCGTAAACTTCACTGACGTCGGATGGCTGCGTAGCGCCGTCGTGGGAGATGCATTGACCCACATCTTTCATCGCTGCCTGCACTGTCTGGAGCATGCATACACCATCTGCAAATTCTTGATCCATATTCGCCATCGCCAGCATATCCCAGCGCTTAGGTATAGTTGATACTGGCAGACTTTCAAATTGATGAACATTTGCAGCGATGTACATCAAATGTTGACATGGTAGATTGTAGCTGCAGTAGAACAGACACGAACATGACCACTGAAAGTCGTTGCATTGATGTGTATGCTCCCCCGTTCGCACTTCCCACTCACCAACATCAGAACCACGCTTAATGCATGTTGTCGCAGCACTGAATACCATAAAGTAGTCCCATTGCGTGCGTACGCTAGCCAGCATTGTGTCGCTCAGGTGCTTTGACACTAGAGAGAGAAATCCGGGAACGCCATCGGGCTGTCGCGACCTTGACGTATGCTTGTGCATAGCGGTAATGAGATGGCTTGTTATGGTAGCCTGGTGAGATAGTAGATCACTCACTGTTAAGTCAAGTCGGGGGCGCTTCCCCAGCAGAAGTTTTAGCTGGTTCCAGTTTGACTCGATCCTGTTCGTCGTCGTGTTACCGGCCGTGAATGATTTGCCCCTGACGTGGTCTGCCCACATTCCAACACAAGATTCCCAATTCGCCTCGAAATATTTCTGCAGCGCTGGGCATTCTAGCTTACAAATTTGTCTGAACGTGGATACTTCTGAGTCGAACGCCGTGTATGGTTTTACTGTTTTCAGCTACACAACCGGCAACATATTGCTAGCAACACAACAAACAACACAAGCTAGCAACACAACAATCAGCACAGCACAAACACGCACCAGTATATGAGTTTCGCGAATACCGATTCCAACGTTTCCCTCTCTGTCACCTTCAAATTATACTCTTTCCGCTTACAAACCTTGCGCCAGTACGTTAGCGCATGAAACTGACAAAGTAAAACATCAGCGCCAGGAAATGCCTGCTTCAGCACTCGCCACTCAATAGAGTCCTTATCGATGACGACGGTCTGGATTGATTGTCAGGACGGATTCTTGCGTTTGAAAAACTCAACAATGAGCTCCATCGTGACAGCTTTTTGGTCGAGGGCTAGAAAATCAATTACAGGCATTCCTCTGCCTGTAGCAGCTGTAACTACAAGACTCCCTGTAGCATATACACGAGTATGATATCAGACCTCACTTCAAGGATAATATAATTATCGACGTTACCCAGATGATATCCCAACTTATTGGTCCCATGTGTCCAGTCCATGACTAGCGTGTCACCCCACTGTGCGAAACATTTTTTCTGAATGCACGTTTGCATCGCAATCACACAAGTGATATCCATTTGGTCCTGAACTAATAGAACGTCATTGCCGGCATTCCCGTCAGCAAAATAATCGAGAATAGTTTTAGTGCGCTCGAGGGTTGTCGTACCCAGTACTTGACGGAGCAGATTTCTCGTTTGTTGTGGTGCTAAAACCATATCTGGATATCATCAACCAAAAAAGGAGAGTGATTATAAATTAAGTTAGCAAAACTGAATAAAAAAATAGATACTGCTACAGCCAAATTCACCAGCGACACCCACCAAGCTGATTCGAAAGATATCGGTTGATATCAGAAGTGCTCGTTTTCATTTCTGTCAGAAGCCCAAGCTCCCTGCGCACCTGGGGTGTGACCGACAACGACTTGGCCCCGCGATAGGAATCGTAGATATTCTTGCTTGTCTTGTGATTGTGGGTGGAGATCTAAGCAAATAATAGTTGTTAAGAAACGTCAAAGAAAATACATCATAATCGTCATACCTCCGAGTCCGGATCCACAGTCACCTTCCATTTAGCAGCTCCTTTTTCGACAACGTTGACAGTTCTCGCCAAGAAACTTGCCATGCATCCCGTGTATCGCAAGTCAAAATCACGCCGTCCATCACCACGAGCCGACTGTGTTGCGCCATTAGTGCACCACATTCAATTAAAACTGTGGGAAAACCGCTCGGGAATGATCGTTGCCCTAGGGCGACTTGATTAAGCAACACAACAAGCAACACACACAAATAAAATAGCAAACAACATAGCAAAAATCAACAATGTTAGCAACAGCGCATGCTGTTCATGTGCCAACAAAATACGGACCTGTTGCACTTGGCACGGGTTTTAGAGCTTCGAACGCGATAGTGCAGATAATTTTCAGCCTCGTAACAGCTCTTGAAAAGTCTCCCAACTGTCAAACGTCCTCACTGGAAGTGGTGGCTTGACGTTTTCGACTGCCTGATGTGCCTTCATCATCTTTTCACGACTGTCGTACGTTTTTGTCCGGCGTCGCACAATTTTGCTCTTCGCCGACGCCGTGAAATGAGCCCCAGTTGATCCCAGGCTCTCTGTGCCAGGTTTTGGTCGCTTTGGTGAGGGATCTTCGCTTTCGTTCATCTCAAAGGCACCATGGCAGGATTTGCGGCGGTGCGGCACGGACAGCTGCTTCCGTTTGCGACTTTCTTCGATGGCATTGGTTTGGGCGGCATCAACAAATGCGCGTGCATAGTCTTTAGTTTTGTAACCATTGAAAGCAACATTCAAAGCAACATAGTAAGCAACACAAGTAATGTATCAGCAACAAAAGAAATCGACCAGGATATATACCTGTATCGGCCAACGCGTTGTTATCACCCGGCTCCGCGGCGGTGGCTTTGGCGTCTGCAGCCACGGCCTTCTCGCGCGCAGCGTCATCCTTCTCGCTCGCCGCAACACTGGTGGCGTCGTCGTTCTCACCGGCAACCACATCCTTCTCGCCCGCCGCAAAACTGGTGGCGTCGTCGTTCTCACCGGCATCCACATCCTTCTCGCCCGTAGCCACGTCCTTCTCGCCCGCCGCAACGCTCTTCTCCCCGGAAGCGCTGTCGTTCTCGCCCGCCACAGCGCCCGTATCCTTCCCACCCGGTAACGTATCGACCTTGCGCGCATCATCGCAGGCTTTGTTCTCCAGGCCCTCCATGTCTGCATCCTCATTTGCGATATCCTCAACCGTAACCAGAGGGTCATCGACGTAGTCTTCGTCGCTACTGGAATCATGTATAAATCCGCGTCCAGCAAGTAAGTAGTCGACATGCGGTCTTGCTCGTAGACAGCGCCCTATACATGATAGAACACAACGTTGTAGATTAGGACAACGTGCTGCAGGCTGCCTGTCACTATGTCCCCCGTGTCTTACCTGTGCTCTGCGCTTCTCGGCGCACTTGCTGCTTCGGCATCTTGCTTTTCCCCCCTTCTCGGAAATGAAAGGTCTGTACAACTCGTTTATTGAATCTCGTACTTAATAGACACTGTAAAATTTACATTTCCGCTTTTGAGATTTTTAGCGTAATATAACTTGCTACCCAGCAACACAAAACGCCATTGTGTTGTTCTAAAAGAGAAATCGTCATGTTGCAGTAATGTTGCGGTACCGACTCCGCTAATCTAGCTCAGGGTTGCTATTTTAAAATAGCCATAGATTGTTCTAGGGGGGGGGTTAACCAGGCCTTTGGTGACAAAAAGGCCGGCATTCCTGTAAATACAGAAATCCCCCTGAATAATCGTAGGAGGTCGTCTGATTATTTTGCATAGAAAATTCACAGCAATCTCGTGATTAGTCAAATGTACCCAGTCCATGTGATCGGATATAAAGGGGTATATGAAGTACAAGCTACGCTTATTCGGGGGACTTCTGTAAATAAATAGAGAGGAAAGCTTAAACCAGGAGTAATCGACTGTTTACGGTTTTCAAGTTTACCAACTACATGTATTCATCGAGCCATCGACCTTACCCCGATGCACTGCGTCCAAGTCTGAGACGCTACTGTCGGCAGTGTTATCGCCTCATCGCGAGGAAAGATGATAATATTCAGTAAACGAAGCCTACAGAGTAATTGACGTGGACAACCCGATGTGCCAGCCTTGCTGCTGTGAAAATTCATCGGCGGAAAGTGACGCAAAGCAATTTAATCTCGTGCGCTTAAGAGTTGAGGTGCAGTTCTCTTCCTAGCATTTCTTAGTATTGCTATTAAGCACACTGTATTTGCACTACACAGAATAACAACAAACTACTGCGCTGTGATGAAAATGAATAGTAATAATCTTCACCAAGCCAACATGCTTTACCTTTTAAAAGCTTGGTTCTGTTTTCTTTTTTGTAGCGACATGCAGATTGCCTCTAAATAGTAATTTCCACTCAAAACTTATAGAATAACGATTTTACTATTACCTTCAGGCACACCTTTATCGCAAGTTACACCGTTTAAAGATAATATCCTCTAATGAATCATCTTATTTTCCATCCGACTGCTCTTTGGACGACAGTTGAATACGTGTAGGTCCAGGCTTACGTTCGACCTTTATGACCTCCTTCTCACGAGCTTACTTTCGAATTGTGCAGCGTAGCGTGGGCACTAAAGCAAAGTTGATCCGCTGAATTTGCCTTCGCCATGATTAAGCGCTACGCCAACCCGTTCCAGCCGCTGGAATTAAATACTACGGCGGCCGATGAGCTCGAACGATAGGCGCGCATGTTCGTACAGGATCACATCAGTCTGTACGAGCAGTTCCTGAATGAGGAGAACAGCCGCGTGGACCCGCAGCACTGGAAGTTCATAAGCGAACAGGACGGTTGTCGTGCGTACAGCGAACGACGAGGAAATGTCGATGACGGCTCCGGTTCCAGTGGGGACGACGTGCCCCTACACGTGGATACGCCGCGATCCGAACTCCCTACGATCCTGGTAACGGGTATTGTACTAGGAGATCAAGAAGACGCCATCTATGGGTACATCTGTTCGACTCTGGACCAGATGCGCATCAAGACGTCGTACGTCAATAACCAGCTTATCGGAGCCCATGTATTGGCGACGATCGTGCCGCCCACACCGGAAGATCCGTTCCGTGCAGTGACCATCAAGTGGATGGAAAAAGGTCAACGATTACATGTCCGCGCAGTAGTTAAGAACAGAGATTTCGTGTACATGGAAGCCACCGGCGTCGATTATCTACGCAACGGCGAACGCGTAGGATACCAGCTCCTCCACTCTGTCCAGTTCCTCGACACTCCGCCATTGGATGGATACATTCGCGGTAATATGTCCATGTGTGCGTGTTATCGTCAGAAAGACCCGTATTCTACAAAAGTGTTCATCAAGGGATATCTTAACCCTGCAGGGGGACTCATGCGCTCTATCGTCCTACACTCGGCCGCTACAGCTTTACTGTCTGTGTCTAAGAATGTATACTGCGCGCAAATGAAGAAACTCGTATGTGCGATCAGAAATCGCCGACTCAAAGTCGACGAGAGATCCGCTGCTGTCATCGCGACGGCTTCCGACAGATGCGTAACATGCAAGGAGCCTCCCAAGCCAACGCTCAACTTATTGGCCGGGAAAAGGCAAAGGCGGACGTGTAAGATCTGCTTCCGGTACGTGTGTAAGTCGTGTCGTGAGACGCGCAAGCTCTGCTTCATCCTGCCAGATCATCGACTGGCGGAGCAAGACGTGCACTTCTGCAAGCCGTGTCTGAGCGATGCGCTGGTAACTAAGGCAAGAGGGATTGCACGGGACGAGGTGATATCACGTAGCGAACTATACGAATGGAGCAATACGTACGGCAGCTCTTCTGGCAATGAAACCGTGCCGCTAGACGAACATTAGGCCACCGAATGCGTGTGTTGTTTAATGATATACCGGTAAACATAAGTGTGTGCATGTACCCATTCTGAAGCTGTTAACACGCAGCTACAAAACAGCGCTGCTAGCCAGGGAACCCGAAAATGCAATACTTAGATTAATACATCGATGTGAGCTGAGAAAATTAATAATTCAATTATTTGCAAAACTTCGCAAGTCACGATTGTAGTTCAGAAACATTATCATCTCGAGCCTGGCTGGAGACATTCGCTTCCGTAGATCAGACAGCACCAGCTTAGCGTGAGAGAAGAAGCGCTCACACTCGTTAGACGTTGGCGGGATGTACGCGACGTCGACGTAGTGCGCAATTGTGTTTCTTGAACGCCGCTCTCACAATAGAACGCTCTTCGGCGGCTCTTGAAGACGACCGTTCGAGATCAGGCGACCTAAATTCAGCGCAGGCTAATTTTTCCGCGACGTTCAGCGCGTCCCCACGCTGTAACTTGACTAGACCTTCCTCAAAATTGGGGTTGTTCCCGTTGTTGACAGGCATAAATTAATAATTAAATTAAAAAATTCGGATTAATTTTTACGCATATTATTTTTTCGGGTTCCCTGCTGCTAGCACTTTTACGGTCCGGTCTGACTGCGTGTCAACACCGGTTCCATCGCCTTTGCTGTTCATCGCGACTTTCAAGCACCGCGGTACACGAACCACTAGTTGTAATACGAGTATGCCCTGATGCGCCAATATAATTCGCTCAGGTCCTACAGACTGTAGTACATGTACAGTAGGTCTACAAGGCACTGGAAACTGCCCAAGAAACCAGGATATTTCCCAGCATCTGCCCTAGATTAATTAATTCGGGAATCGCTGTCGCCTCGCCGAAGAGATGTGATGATCAAGACCGTGGAATCGTCATGGCCAACACGGCGATCCAGCCGGCTTCTCTGCCCTGCATTCACTAGAGGCGTGTCTCCGATTGGTGCCTACGCTCTATTGCAAGTAGGTAAGCCTCTTAACGCAACATTGAATTGCGCTTTCGTAACCATTTAATAAGCCTTTTGTTAAACTGAAAAAGTTACCGTCCATCTTTAATGGGTCCTTTGAAATAAAAGTTTTAACCGACACTTGCATGTGCTTCGCTTTGGCTTCAACCTGATAAACACATCCATGGAAAGCGTAGCCATCTGTCCGGCAAATGGCTTCGGCAGACTGCCGGGTTTGATTTGAAGGGGAAAGCCTCGAATAATCAAGTAAATGAAGCCAAGTGGGAATCGCAACGGTTCCCAAGTAGCTTTCATGCAACCTTTACCTAAAGCGCGACACGACAGCACACGCGTGAAGCTCGACCTCTCGATCCAATGGCGGTGCATGTATGTGTATAAACACATGTACATGTACTGTATGGTCGGGCATTGGAGGTGGCCTCTATCGACCATGGCATTCCATGTTGGCAAAATCCTTTTCCCAGAGCATCGTGATGTTGCTCACCTTTCCCGCGATTGCCCAGTGGCTTCATCAATCTTGATCAAGCCTTGATCACAGTGAAGTTCACCTGCACCGGAAGATCGACCAGCCAAAACGCTGGTACCGGTAGGAGCGGGAATTCTAGGCGGCGATGGGAATGGCGCCATTCGCATATGTCGCTGCACGCGCGCAAAACTCGCACAAATGTTCACGCAGATGTGGCTTTTCCAGTGCACCGGAACCTCGCACTTCAACCGTTCCTGAAGTTGCCTTGGAGGTGAAGAGTTCAGAACAGTGTGGCATTGTTGCGAACGTATTAAAACTGCGAGCTAAGAAACGTGAATTATTAATAGAGAGCTGTCGAAGCTCTTCGTGGCGTTATTTCTGCTTAAAAATAGGTATGGCGTTTCTTGATTAATGGACGTTCTCCACGTAAGGGCAAGGGTGCTGTTTTTAGAAACGGCTATTTAGATCTGGGCAACGCACTGGAACGATCAAGGGTTCGCCGTAAACGCCAAGGCAACGCTGGGCGCGGAGAGCGTCGCGTGCGTCATGCCCAGTGTCTCATGTACACACGACGCGGCGAAAGCCTTTGCCTCGTCTCGTTAGTTGAGCGCTGTCGACCAGTGCATACCGGTACAGGTCTTTCAGCACTACATGTATCCCATGCAAAACCCCCGATCCAGATGATCTGGGTTTTCCTCTAATCAACGGCCAAGTTCAAGTTAAGCCCCCTGCAGTTTTAACTTTCGAAACTTCAAGCACCGGAAGCGTTGGCTCCGGGATCTCCAACGGCACGCGCTTGGTCCAAGTCATTCTGCAATTTCCTTTGTCGTGCAACAACTACAGAACCACAGTATCACAATGGTATTCAACCGATTGTCGGCTTTCGCTGACAAAATGTGGAATTCGATCGCCACTGTGCCGTCCGATGGCGATTACAACGCCGTCAGCACACCCACTGGGCGCAGCACCCCACCACCAACGGAGACCGGTTTCGCTCTGTCGGTAATCCTCTTCGAGGTGGTGTGTTTGATCTTCTTCGCCCTAAAATTCGAAATGCCCAGCCCCAAACACAACGACGCCGACACGGTCAGCACGATGAATTACTACCCCATGTACATGGACGTTCACGTCATGATCTACATTGGTTTCGGCTTCCTCATGACCTTCCTTCGCAAGTACAGTATGAGTGCTGTGTCTCTCAACTTTGTTGTCGCCGTCTTGTCCCTCCAATGGGGTGTCATCGTCGTGACGATGGCCCACCAGATCGGTGGCGACCACTACACGACCAAGCTACTGGACATCCCCACGATGATTAACGGCGACTTTGCCGCTGCTGCCGTGTTGATCAGCTTTGGAGCCGTTCTCGGTAAGACCACGCCCACCCAGCTGGTTTGGATGACGTTCCTTGAAATTATCTTCTACGGCTTAAACGAGTACCTCTTACTTGAGGAGCTAAAGATCACGGATGCCGGTGGTTCTATGGTTATCCACACGTTCGGGGCCTTCTTCGGTCTTGCCGTCACCATCATGCTTGGCGTCCCGTCCGAGCACGAACAGGTGCACAACAAGTCTCGCTACCACTCGGACGTGTTTGCGATGATCGGAACGCTCTTCCTGTGGATGTACTGGCCTTCTTTCAACTCGGCTCTTGTAGGAAGCGATGGTTTTCAACAGGAGCGTGCGGTTATGAACACGGTGCTTAGTATCGCGGCGTCTTGCGCCTCTGCGTTCGTAGCAACAAAGATGATGAGCCACACGAAGAAGTTCGACATGGTCCACATCCAGAACGCCACGCTGGCTGGTGGTGTCGCTATGGGCACGAGTTGCAACCTCGCTATTAGCCCTGCGGCCTCTATTACCGTAGGTCTCGTAGTTGGTCTGGCGTCTACCATGGGCTACTGCTACGTGACGCCCCGTCTGGAGAATATCGTCCGTATGTCCGACACGTGCGGTATCCTTAACTTGCACGGTATGCCCGGCGTTGTCGGCGGCTTCGCTGGCGCTATCGTCACGTTCTCTGCTTCTGATGACTTCTACGGCGACAGTCTGACCAGCGTGTACGCGGCACGTGAGTACCGCTCTGCCAATGAGCAGGGTTGGTACCAACTTCTTGCTATCGTGTGTTCAGCCGGCATCGCCGCCGTCTCCGGCGTGTTTGTCGGCTACTTCCTCAAGTCGAAGCTGTTCCGCCAGCAAAAACTCAAATACGACGATGAGGAGTACTTCTACGTGCCCGAGGAATGCCACGCATAAGTGGATAGTTGAGGCACGATTCTAGTTACAATATCCATGTTCTTCACCCATCGAAAGTCTTATCAAATTGCATCGATTGACCTTAGTCAGTATACATGTATTTCTGTTCATGTACTACTACAGTACTGTTCCAGTGTACAGCTGGGTCCGTACTAGTACATGTACCTATAATATGGTATTATTGGGGCAAACCCCCCCTATAATGAAACGAATTAGTAAGACAACTACTCTTTTTACAGGAGTATTTACGAAGTATTAGTAAAGGGTTAGGGTAGACATTTATAATCAAACCGCCTAGGGACCATTTTTGGCGAAAAATACTTGTGTATAAGAACCCTTGAAAGGGAGTGACGGGGAAGAAAAATAGAAAAGCGCGGTAGTGACCTCTTTTGTAGTATTAACAGTCACTAAAAAGAGGAGTCATTTTTATGCTCTGTATGAAGAGTCGCTTTGTATCAGGCGCCAAAGGATTGCGCTAAGTTTTAGGAATGTTTTATGCTCACGGCCTTACGGCGCGTACCCATGCGAACCGTTACGCTGGTAACGATTAACGTCGAGGGGCAGTCCTATTTAGTCATAAAGGGCATCAAAACTGATATATTGGAAGGGATACAGAGCCGTAAGAACTCTGTAAAAAGTCATGGCTACACGTTCAGAATGCACTGTGTTTCTGTACTGAAATAGGATAGAGGCGTGGGAGCGTGGTTCTAAGCAGCGATTCGTGTTCGCTCTGCGCTATCGAAGCCGCTAAGGTTGCTCTGGAGGTCGCCCGCGAGTCTCAAAACGATCGCCTTCGCACGGACATGGGTCGAGAAGCGAGGATGGGAGAATGGAGGCGGTGCTGAGCGGCCAGAGATCGTTAGCGCGTGGACTTGACCCCCGTATTTTCCAGCTGCTGTTGGAAGATGAAGTCGATCTGGACGCTACACGTACAAGCAATGGCGGTTCTGCTCTCCATGTTGCGCTTCGGCGACGCAATCAAACTGCAGCGGTTCTTTTCGTTCGTGCTGGCCTAAGTTTAACAGCAGTCAATCTGCTCGGTCAACGTGCGATCGACTGCGCACGTTCGCCAGCACTACGCTTTGCTGCGAAGAAGGAGGCAGGTCAGCGCGACTTTATGATCAGCTACAGTCATGCTCACGCACCGTTAGCACGGAAGATTCGAGACTCGTTAGAGCGCCACCGAGTGACAACTTGGATCGACACTATGGGACCTACTGGGATCACTGATGGCTCCGTCTGGCGTCAAGAGATTGCTCGCGGGATCCATAGCAGTGCTCTTGTATTAGCTGTACTCACGAAAGACTACCCACAGTCACAATGGTGCATGAAAGAGCTCGATTTTGCCAAAATGCAGACATTTTTGTCGTGGCTATACAATGCGAGGATATGGAGATATCTGAAGAGCTACAAGTTTACCTGTGGACCCGCCAAGTGATTGACTTTCGATCGGCAGTTAAGCACAATAACGGTGTAAGTTCTACAGGAGATGATGCTGATCTACAGCGGATGGCGAGGAATAGCTCATATACAGCTGACACTGACTCACATGAGGGGGAAGTGTACAGTGAAGATGATACTACGAACGTGGTGGTCAATATGGTGGGCAAGCGCGTCTTAAGCAACCTCGAGTTAGTTCCGAACTACAATGACGAGGCCTTTTGCCACTGCTTAAGGATGCTACTGGACGGTATTCAAGATCAAATCGAGGAGCATCGTGCACGACTAGCTCGGCGCCAGTTGCAGCAGCAGCAACAAGCACAACTTCCTGGTCATGAGACTGATGCTACTGTTAGCGGAGACGCGTCACGCCATGGAAGCCGTCGCAACGAGAGTGAGTGTTATCCGGAGGAAGAAGACAGAGCATTGTGTGGAATGTCTACGGAGCATGATAAGCAAAGCGAGTGTGAAGAAATCGACACGTCGAATGCAGCGATCAGCTTCCCAGAGGGCCACTGAACGTGCCACTTATTCGGCCATTACGACGGATTGACTCATTGGCTTCGTCTCTCGCGTTCACATCCGGTACAGACTCTTTCGTCTTTATTGCGCATGGTGATATCCACCGCTCATTGTGTCTACGCCTCCAGAAATCGTTGCTCAAGCAGGGAATACGCTGTGTTGTGGATCAAACAGTTCCTGCGGTACAATATGCGCATCGGCCGCAAGATACTGTGAACAGCGATGTTCAAAGCGGCGGCTTCGGCGCAGATTTGAGCTGCATTGAGCAACCAGTGGCTTCTTTACCTGTTCAAACGCGACAATTGGCTGCAAAAGATGCCATTCTCGCCTGCTCTGTCGTCTTAGTGGTGTTGTCTCCGCTGTCTGCAAATTGCGACCTTCTTGCTGATCAATTGGCTTTCGCAGAGGACCGTGGGAAGTTGCTGGTGCCTATTCTCCTATCGCTACACAAAGTGGATCTGGCCAAGCGCTACGCCTTTTCACGCAGTATGGTGCACCACTTTAATATCTCTCTGGGCTTCGAGCAGAGCCTGGAACAACTTACCCAACTATTTAAGAGTACTCCCTCAATTACCCACCGTTTGCTGGGCTCTCTAGTCGATATGAATAAAATATGACATGCAAAAGTAATACTGCTGTGAACAGTTTCCTTACTGGGGTTGAAGTTGGCTTATTTAACTTTCGGATTTGCGTCTGTCACTTTTGATTTTGCTGTATCAAGTCACAATGGATTTCTTGGATTCCATTCGCGGGGCCGTTTTGAAACAAATGGAAGAGGAAGCTGTCAACATGTTTTCAAGCGTAAGAGACTTTCGTGAATTCATCACAATGACACACCCTGCAGTTGATATCTGCGTGACACTGAGAATGTGTTGCCTTCACGTGGAGCGTCTTGAAGGTACTAACGCTACTCGTGTAGTCTTGGTCGACGGAAGGAGATGTGTGGAGGTCAACACAGCCTTGAAGGCAGTTGATGATTGTATAGGCTATCAAGACAAACGCGATGTGGTGCAGGTGACTGTTTGGGATTCAAAGATGTCGAACGCTTTCGCTGGCGATTCAAACATTGTGTTTCACGTTGGAGCTATGTACGTTCTTAATCAAGTCGAGTATGTGGGATTGTACGATGGCATCGCGAAGGGCAGTATTCAGTACGAGTATGGCAACTTGGATAAGATCAGAGAGATTGCGCCTCCCCTCAAAAAGCGCACGTCTTGGTGAGGGGCATACAGCAGCTACAAGAATCAACTTGACCGACAGCAACAGCGTGATGGCGTTAATGATGAAGACTCGGGGAAACGATCAGACCATGTTGCTGGTGCATCAGCAATTACTATATGGTATTCTTCTTTTCAGTTAAAGGATAATATAACAGAGTTGTTGCAACGAAATACTATGAATTTAATTAATACTAATTGGAGCTACTGTAGACATGAGTGTGGGAGGAAGTAAGCACAGTTGTAGCATGAAATTCTAGATATGGAATTTATGAAGTAGATCAAAATTAAAAAAAAATATAACTATATAATCGTGCAGGATTTGGAGGCTAATGACTTCTTCGGGATACGTTCGTTGGTAAATCAGCTAATGGATATGTTGAAGTTGCAGTAGCGGAATCAATGGCTAAATGAAGTCGTATCGCATCTCTTGGATACGTTGATGGTTCAATAACTAGAATGCGCGCAGGGTTTGAAGGCTAATGAGTAGGAATTAAACTCAATTTTACTATAACAATGTAGGAAGGCATCGTACTAACAAACTAGATAGATTAGGGGCGTCAAAATAAATGTAAACGGTGTAAAATTGGCAAATAGACACAATGTACCAGGTTTGGAGCTGGAAACCATTACGTGGATCAAGTGAAGGTGACTGTATATCTAGAAACGTTGGTGAGGATGCGTGCGGTGTGGCACGACGGTGCTGTCGGTTGAAGTTTGGCTGGTAGATCTAGAAGGAGTCGCAAAATGTAATATGGACTCATAATTAATGCCCCAACTTCAAATTCATTAATAATGCAGTGATCTCGTATGTATGGTATCTGTGCTAGGCAATGACGATGGACATCAAGTACTGGGCAGTGTCATGCAAGTGGGCTACACAAATAAAGTCTAAGATAATGGAAGAAGCGGTTGTGATAGTGATGGCGTTTTGAATAGCATTCTTCGGATACGTTCGCTAATGAATCAGCTAATAGATTTGTTGAAGATGCAATGGCTAAACGAAGTTGTATCACATCTCTTGGATACGTTGACGTTTCGCTTCGAACGATCGAGCCAAAATTCCAGTAATATTTGGTGCGGGAATGCTTTAAAAATTACGAGAATTTGTCAGAATTTGTGAAGTTGCTCGAAGACTTCAAGCCAGAGTGGTTTACAGAACTAAATGAATTGGCGAGGAGGAAATGTGTGTAATATCACAATGAAAGAGTTTGTTTGCAAATTAATTATAGTCACCCTTTTGGTTTGTTCGAATATAGCATTATTTTACCTTATCCGCCGCGTACAATGGCAGTAGGACGTGGGTATCTTGAATGGGACGGATGATTCGTGCCGGCAGTGCTCACTTTTAGTTTTGCTAGCGACGAAGCAACGCCATCGCACAATTTCACCACATACAACTATGAATCTGCTAGAAGCTATCAAGAACGACGTCCTAAAGCAGAAGGAAGAAGAAACGTTGAACCAATTCTCAACTGTGGCGGAGTTTAGAGAATTCATTTTGGCGTCGCACCCAACTGCTGATGTAAGCGTTACGCTCAGCATGTGCTGCCTTCAATCGGAACGACTTCGCGGTGACCATGGAACTCGTGTTACGCTGGTCGACGCCGCGCAACGGGAAGTGTTCGAGCCGACAGCAAATGCCCTAGCCGACTTGACACCTCTGAAGCGCAAACCGTATCTGGTTCAAGTGACGGTGTGGGATGCCAAACCGACGAAGTGTGTCAATGGCAAGCGCAATATTAAGTTTGAACCTGGTGCCGTGTACAAATTTTCCCATGCCGATGGCGTTGGTTTCTATGCTGATATTGCAAAGGGGAG